GATGGTAAACTATATTTAAAATAAATCATATCTTGCTATGGTTAACTAGAAGAGTACTTCTACTCACCAGAACCTTAGCAATTACTACTTTTATAATTTTATTTCTCTACTATAATTTTACTTCTCTACTAAGTGAAAAAAAAAATTGACCAAGGCTGGGTACACGTATTCAAAACAACCTTTCTGAAATAGAAGCTGAACTACTGTATCTAATAGGTGAAGACTTTACTGAAGTGAATTTAGTTTGCAGGGATACCATACATATCAACAACATGACATTTCGAAGAGTGGAATTAGTAAGATATGCATTTATGCAGTGAGAACAAAATACTTTTACTAATCATAGTATAAAGACTTCCTACAATCTTAAGCATATCACATACAACTAAGCTGTTTTTGCTGCTCTCAAAGGTGATTCTTCTAGATAATATTAATTCAAAAATTGTTCAAAAAAAATCTTAAATTTAAAAAAAGTTTGAAATTCCATTTTGACAAAACTGGAGAATACACTGAAAATTGAGCCAAAACTATCAACTGTATCTTCTTCAGATGATTTAGGTGATGGATAGTCCTCAGATTCAACTGGACTCTATATTAGTTCTCTGCAATGAACAAGTATAGATAAGAATAGCAGGAAGATACATAAAGCATATTTTTTCTCTTTCTTTTTCTCTCATTATAAACTGTTTCCTGGGTAAGCCACCGAACTTCTTGGACTAAATTAATTGTTGGTCTTGGGTCACTAAAATAAATGCAACTGAAGAAAAAAAAAAAAAAAAAAACACGAAAGAAAGAAATAATTAATTAATAATTTTAAATAATTTGTTGAAACTCTGGAAGCCTTTAGTGTTATGCCTAAGGCTGAATCAGAGTCAATTATTACAAGAGGAAACAGAGCTCCTATGTTTATCATCATGAATCCTTGGCTTTTAAATAGCATTAATTAGAACTGCCTATTCCTCAAAAAAATTGCTAATGGGTTTTTATCTTCACCAGAACTTTCCACATATGTTTACGGTTACAGTTTAGGGACATTGCCCCAAAAAATGTAACGTATACTGCTGGGTGATTAAAAACAAACAAACAAACAAACAAACAAAAAACACCTCTGAAAATTATGGACAACAGCATTAAAAAGGACAGATAGTCTCTGTGGAACAGTTTCTGTTTATATCAGATACGACCTAGCCTAAGTGCAATGATCATGCCTGAGGTGATTACCAAATATCAATTATGAGTGCATATACAATTTATACAGAACATTTTTCATGCAAGAAGAATTTGGGTTTAGCATGCTTAAAATATTTTTTTATTTGTTAATGGTAACTACATTAATAGAGGAATAGACAAAAAGAAAAGGAAATAATGATTGTGTGAAGGCAGTAAAGTGCAAATTTAACAGGAAAATAAAAGGACTAAAAATAACTTTGCTCAAATTCTTCTAATAGCAATTTGTTCGATAATTCAGCTGTCTGATATGTATTGGGTGGGTATACCTGCCAAGTTTTGCAGCTTTCCTCTCCTTCCTTCATATCTATTATAAGTTCACGTGCTCTATTATGTATCATAAAAATCAGAAGTTACAGCATGCCATCTATCTAATATATAGATATCAAGCCAATAAGATACAGGCTGCAACCCAGGCATGTAAATCAAGTCCCACACTTCTCCAGATCAAGCAAAGTTTAAAGCTTTTCTGTTGTTAGTCTTACAGTTTACTTGGTGTCTAAAGTTAAACATCACTCTCCAAAAGTAATAGTGGTGAAATTCTATTTTCATACTAGATTAGCACTTGTGTAAGTAAAAGAAAGCCTGACAACTTCCAGTCGATGCACCTGAGACACCAAATCCTGTACCTTGATAGAATTAATGAATCACCAGCACAGCAGGTATGTTAAAAAGGTTTTTATCTACTCTTATTAAGTTACACTATCAGCTAATAATATATACAGGTAGCACTGGGTGAAATAGGGAACAGGCAAAAAAGATCAGGGATTCATACCTGTGAGCATCAGCTGAAGGATAGATTTCAATGCCTCCTCTATGAGAAGAGTGAATAGACTAACATGTTTGGTGGATTTGTTTCTTTTTTAAGTGTGCAGAGCCAAAAATCCAGGATTCCCATCCTTGGGGGCGTCAGAATTTTTAGAAAGATTTAATTTAATATTTTCCATGAATACAGTAATACATAGGGCAGACCTGCTTGGCAATCACACTTCTAAAACTCGAAGAGATTTTGCCTCTGTAATAAAGATCATAAGGTGTAATTTAAATGATACAAGTATGAAATATTCAACATTAAGTGCTCAATGAGACAAAAAAAAAAAAAAAAAAAAAAGTCATGCTGAGACACTTTTTTTGAGTCATTTCTACAGAGGCCAGTTTGGTAGCATATTCACCAAGAGTCAGGAAGTTAAAACCATTTTTGTTTCAACAGAAAATATACCAGTACATGCATTCTTAATTTTATTCATGAATGTAATAGCTCTGTAATCTTAAAATTTACAACAAAATTTTCAACTATTTAATAAAAACAACTCAATTGGAATTATAATTTTAAAGACTAAACACATCTGCATTCCATCACATTTCATTTTGTATACAAAGAAAGACATTAATAAAGAAAAAACTAACCATTTAAAATCAGTGTCTAAATTTGAGGAACTATTGAGATCTCTCAGTACTCTGATACTTTATAAATCAAGTTACTCATAATGCTTCAAGAGAAATTTCAAGGGCACAGTAAAGGAGAATTAGATTATCAAGTAATGTTCCTGCTTGTTCTTATATTTACATTTACCTGGATGAACGTAATGTATTTGGGGAGGAAGGAGAAGAAGGAGGGGGGGAGAGAGCCATACATCACACTAATGTAAAGTCCATGAAAAATTTGTCCTTCATGCTGTGACTGGACACTGTCAAGGATGTTACAACTTTTTTAACTGCATCTAAGCAAAGATGCAGTGTTTAGTAAATTCAATTGTCTCTAGTTATAATATTTTTTTCCAATTTACATTTATGAGGAGAAGGAGGAAAACAATTTATCTGTTACAAGGAATAACCTCTAAACCATAACCTCCAGAATCTGATGTATTGGTTCTCTTATGTTTCCCCAGATGGCAAAGCAGTGAAACAGAAACAAGAACACCCAGAGGCAGTTATGGTGGCTTCTCTATGGAGAATTTCAGGAATAAGCTTACACTGCCATTGTCCACAGTATTACTTGGGTTCTTTTTGCATTACATGCTTAAAAATTCTCCTGTGAAATCCATGAGAAATTAGATTTAAAATAGACTGTAGTCATGACTGAAGAGCTGTCACTGAAGCCCTTAGTCTTAGTTCAGTACTGTAGAGTGAGAACTCAGTCTCAGATTGAAATCTCACTGATGTAGAACAGAACAGCACTTTGCAGAAACTGCTGGACAGTGAGATTATGACAAACCCATGATGTTTTTCTGTTGCAGCAAGGAGTTAAATTTAATTTAATTTGAAGAAAATTTCCTGTGTGCGAACTTAATCTTATTTTCACTGTGTTAAACCTATCATGGTATAGACGTAGAATAGAGGTTTTGTTCCTGAGAATATCTTAAAAATGTGAATAATATGCATTGTTTGTTCTCTTGAAATTCAAGATGTTTTTTTCAATGTTTATGTACTCCAGCTTTCCAAATAGCAAAAGGAATTGAAGTGAAAATAATATAGAGTAATAAATAAAAATCTTTGCAAAGACAGTGGAGTATGCAGCTAGAGTTAATTTTGCCTCTACTCACTTTATTTCCCACTGTTTTTTCTAGTATTATTTCCTTCTCTCTCATTTCACGTCAATAGCTCTGTCCATTTCAAAGGCAGGGGCTCTGTTTTATGCCTGCTGTGCCATAGAAATCTCAGCCATACAGATTGTCCCACAGAGACCCCTATGGGCTCCTGAAGAGGCTTTGCAATTCACATACGGTCCTTTAACAGCTATTCTGATCCTTTCTAGACCTTTCTAGATCTATAAACCTCAAAGATAATAGGAGAAAAAGACTTAATAACCATCGCATTGTTACAGATAATCAAAGAATACGGAGATTTTCTCTTCATATGCATCCTGTTTACCTAGAGTCAACATGATCAGTGCATCTGCCAAAACTCCCTGGTTTTGTTTTGGTTCGTTATTTTATTTTGTTTGTTTGTTTGTTTGTTTGTTTTTCCATCTAACAAGACAAAGAGGATAATACCAAAATTGAAAACATTTGAACATTATGCACTTGATCATTCCTTTTTCTGGCCAGAACTGTTAAACAGCTTTAAGCAAACCTTTTAAAATGTGGGAAAAGGACCAAAACTATACCATATATCTTGTGAAAACATTCTAGGGAATTTATGTTTTTAAAGTTTTTTTTCATTAAGATAGGATCACTTTTAATTGAGGCATCAGTGTCAGTATACTTTCATACCTAAATCTTAATGTGGAACATCACCTTTGAAAATGGAGCCAAATATCAAAATATGCAGTAGAGGGAACTACTGAAGGATTTGATAATTAACTATAGAACTTCATAGAACCTGGGACTTGTACGACATTAGCTATACCAGCTTATGAGTGAGGCAGAATTACTATAATCTTTACCTTTATTAATTTCTTTCTGATTCTTCTCAAGATCACATTTAGGCTCCCACTTTCTAATGTATACAACACCCTTTAGTCCTGTTTAATAACCTTTATTAACAGAATGTAGAGGTTCTGAGGTTCTGTTTGTACTGTGTTCTATGTGATGTTCAGCATTAAAAATAAAAATAATAATAATAAAAAAAAACACAAAGAAAAGAAAACCTGAAATTTTACCTCTATATTTCATTGTGTAAAGGCAAGCATTTCAGTACAGCCTAGAAAATAATTAAACACTGATGTTTTAAGTTTTGAAATAATATTTATCTATCCAGAAAATCTATCTATGAAGCCCAAAATAACAGTTACACTGGCCAGAACAGATACATAGGAGCCTTGTATATGGGATATGAGAGCAGTTTAGTGTGAAACATCAATAACTTTTAATTTCCCCCCTGGATAGACATCAGATACACATGCAGACGTACAATACAGGCTTCAAAGCAGTACAGAGCAGCCTCAGGGTCTTCCTCTTGCTGCAGCAGAAGTAAAAGCATAGGAGTATAGAATCACCAAAAGAAGCCATTTTCTCATCCTTTCTTGACCAAGTTTCTTACTGTAAGAATCATATAAGCATTGGCATTAAGAAATCCTCTTGCTGAAAAAGTAAATTCACCAGACCTGAAAGTCTGTATGAATGCAGACCTACTAGAAATTCAGAATTTCCAGTTCAAGTTTTGCATTTACTTTCATTGGAACTGTACCACTGAAATCTTTGCTTGACACTTTTGCTGTCCAACATTTTTCATCAAAGCCTTTATTTTCTATGTATGCCTAGCTATGTTAAACTGCACTTACCACCATCAAGATAATGTCTCCTTTTAGAAACTAATACTGTTTATGAATATTTAAAGAATTTTGTCATCCATTTACTTGATAGCTCATATAATATTGAATTTTAATATTGTAAATGTGTACTATGTAAAAGGTAAACAATGTGTTCTATTCTTAGCTATCATAAACTTTGCTGCCATGTTGATATGTAATTTTTTTCTTTCATTTGATTTTAAACTCATGCTCTTCCATGATGCTACTTAGAAAAGTGTTCAGAAATCTGAATATAAATCTGGCTATCCCAGATCAGGACACAGACCTAAAACAAATTAGGATTTTAAGTCTCCCATTTTTTAAATCAAATTATTCTTTTTCTGTAATACAGAAACTTAGGTCTCAACTAAACTTTGCTTGAATTAATAAGTCAAAAATTTGTCTCTGAATCTCACTTTGTAGTTCAAATTCTCCACTATTACCCTTTAGATAAGTGTATACTCAAATTAAACATCATTTCTTTACTGATTGTTTTGGCCTCCTTAACAATGTAAGAATGATCTTAGACATGAAGATATAAATGCTGGTTAGGTTGTAATATAATTGCACTAAGTCCTTGAATATCCTGCATTATCTCCAAAGTGTCACAGTGAGATCGTAAAGGGATACAATAGGAGACAACAAATGCATCAACAAGTGAAGTAAAAACAGGAACTTTTTCTTCTAATACATGTATGCTTGAATCCCATCCAGTATATCTAAACAGTCTGAGAACTGGAACATGAAGTGTATTATTTCCCAGCTTTATTAGATCCTTTCTTAAGTAAAGTTTTTTATGGTGCAACTAAGTGCATCTGAACTTTCATTTGAATCATTGAAAGAACCATCTAAAGTAATTTTTACACCTTACTTATATATGACATCTCAATTTATTTCTGTAGCATTTCAAGTATTGAAAATCTTAAATTTCTCTGAAAATAATAAAAAAAACGTTTGTGAGATTTCTGTTTCACAATTTCTTTGATACGTCCATTTTTTGCACATAAATAGAACTATTATTTTTGTACACAGCGTACACAGAACCAGAATGTATGAGTCATTCCAAAAATAATGCCTCCTATTTTTTATAAAAACTAAAATAGAAACAAATAACACAACAGCATTATTTGACAGAGCATTCTCAGCTACAAAACATGATTTTTCAATGTAGTTGACACTATACACTATGCATTTTTGCCAACAATGAACAAGAACCTGTATGCAGCGTTCATAAAAATCTGTGAAAGCAGATGAGACACACTGTCACTGTCACCACTGCTAAAATGCGCCGCCCACCACTTCACTCTCCTCACATTCACTCCAGAAGTGTTCACCAAGCATCAGTGAGTATCAATAAATGCAATTTTTTTTTTTTCTGTGTGGAGGAGTTCAGTATACACCTTACCTGCATATGTACATCCATATCAGACACAATTTTGCCGGACTGCACCTCTGCTGCCATCTGTCACACAGCAACAAAATGTAATGGAATATTGGTGGGAAGGTTCAACCTCTACTACCATCCCACCAGCATCCACCTTTGACATTGTGGGTCAACATAATGCAATAGGAGGCATTACTTTCAAAGCAGCCTTTCTATTTAGTCTCTGCTGTGAAAAGATGCAGTTGCTAATACTTTCCATTACTCTGGCCAGTCCTAAAAGCCTTAAACCCCAAAATGCCTTGTCAAATATTTGGCATTTATACTTCACTTTGGTACTTATACTCCAAATTTTATTCAGAATCTGATATGTTTTGCAAAGCATACATTATATACATTTTTTTTTAATTTTAAAAGATGTAATATGCAGGTAGCAGACTGGAGTGATTTATTTAACTCTCCTATTGGAAAGCACACAGTCTCCTTTAACAAATTGGGATGTTTTGTGTTTTGTTTCATCTTGTTTTTACAAACAGTGAAGCACCACAGTGTGAAGACTGAGAACTAATGATTAATTTCTTAATTTTGTTCCAAGTCTAGATATACTATTTATCTTACATATATTTAATCATTGAGCCCATTATGAAGAACTATATAAAACTGTCTTACTGGATATTTAAGGGCAGAATCTTCTTTCTGCATTACCTTACTGTTTACAATAAAGAAATTTCATTTATTTGCCACGATGTACTCTATTTAATTTATCCTAATTATTATATATCTTTATTCTTATACAATTATTAGGAAACATTTTCTGTTTCCACAGAATAAATTGAGTTTAACTCCACCTGCTTTAATAGATTTGTACTGCACATACAGTGGTGGCACAGAAATCAGCTCAGTGACACTCTACAGATGCTTTCAAATATCTTCCTGTGTGGCATCACGACACAAGCAGAGCATGCATTCTATATTTGAGACTGAAAAGCTTTTGTGATTTCTGCAAAGAGAAAGTCAGATTGTTCCAGCTCAACTCATTACTGGCTTTCAGAGTGGCACAGACTTGAGAGGTACGGAGTCCTAAAACACTGAAAACATCCAAAATAAAAACAAAATAATATATGTACATTTGCTAACTATTGGAGAGTTCTTTTAAGAATCAGACATGATTTTTCATAGAATCACAAGGTTGGAAAAGAATTCTAAGATCATCCAGTCCAACCATCTGCCTATCACCTATATTGCCCCCCCCTAAACCAAGTCCCAGGTACAACATAAAAGTTTCTTGAACATCTTTGGGGCTGGTGAAATCCACAACCTCCCTGGGCAACCTGTTACAGCACCTGACCATTCTCTCAAAGAAGAATTATTTCCTAATGTCCAACTTGAATCTCCCCAGGTGCAACTTGAGATCATTCCCTCTAGTCCTATCTCTAGTTAGCAAGTAGAAGAGGCTGACCCCAACCTTGCCGCAACCTCTGTTTAATTAGTTGTAGAGAGCAATAAGGTCTCCCCTGACTCTCCTCCATTCTAAACAGTCCCAGTTTCCTCAGTCACTCCTCATAAGTCCTGCTCTCCAGACCCCTCATCAGCTTCACTGCCCTATTATGAACATCCTCCAGGTCCTCAATGTCTTTCTTGTAGGGAGGAGCCTGAAACTGAACATAGTACTCAGGGTGCGGACTCACCAGGACTGAGTACAGTCACTTCCCTGCTCCTGCTGGCAACACTGGATCTGATACAAGCCATTGACCTTCTTGGCCACCTGGGCACACTACTGGCTCATGTTCAGCTGAGCACTGACCAATATCCCCAGGACCATTTCCTCTACACAGTCTTTCAGCCATTCTGCTCCAAGCCTGTAGCATTGCCTGGGATTGTGGCAAAAATGCAGGACCCAGCACTTAGTCTTGTTGAACTTTATCTCATTGGCCTTAGCCCAGTGATCCAGCCTTTTCAGATTCCTCTGAAAGGCCCTTCTACTCCCAGGTAAATCAATACTTCCTGCCAACTTAGTGTCATCTGCAAACTTATTAAGGGTGTGCCTAGTCCCCTCATCAAGGACATCGGTAAAGATACTGAACAGGACATGTCTCCATACTTTCCCTTGGGGAACACTCACGACCAGTCTACCAGCTGGATTTAACTCCATTCACCACCTTTTGGACCTGTCCATCCATCTAGGTTTTTATCCAGCTAAAAATATACCTGTCCAAGCCATAGGCTGCCAGCTTCTCCAGGAGAATACTGTTTGAGACAGCGTCAAAGGCTTTGCTGAAGTCTAGATAGACTATGTCAGCAGCCTTTCCCTCATCTACCAGACGGGTCACTTGATCATAGGACAGTAGGTTGGTCGAGCAAATACTGCCTTTCCTAGTCTTGATTCCCTGACTGTCCTGCATATGCTGTATGATCTCCCTCAAGATGATCCGCTCCATAAATTTTCCTGGGACCAAGAGCTGGCCAACAGGCTTGTAGTTCCCCAGATCCTCCTTATGACCTTTCTTGTAGATGGGAGTCATACTGGCAAGCCTCCAATCCTCCTGTTGATCAGGAACACTGATAATGGAAAGTGGCTTAGCTGTTATCTCCGCTAACTCCCTCAGCACCCTTAGGTGGATCCCATCTGGCCCCACAGACCTGTGGCAGTTCAAGTGGAGTATCAGGTCTTTAACTGTATCCACCGGAGTCATAGGGGGTTTATTCTGCTCCCCATCCCAGATTTCCAGGTCAGGGGGTAGAGGAGGATAACTGATCTGTCTTTTAAAGACAGATGTAAAGAAGGCATGTTGTCTGAGAGGCAGCCAATAGGTGAGCCATCTGCTGTGTGGGCAGAGATACTCTGCCCTCTTCACCCTCTCTGCTCACCTGCCTTGTACAAATCACCACATCACTACCAGTTTGCCTGACTGCCCACACAATTTGCTGTGCCACACTATGCCAAATTGCCCTTCCTGTTCACTCCCCTCCTGAGTGCTGCACTCTCTAATGGAAGGTTTTATACAAACCGAGAGTGATCTTGTCAATGCTCTGGCTCTGCCCCTGTGATGTCAGAATGCTGCTGCCATGAGGAGGACAATGGCTGCTCTCTGACAAATCTACCAGTTGAGGTAATTCCCTGCTTCAGGGAGGAATGCATTCACATCAAGTACCTCACCAAAAAGCACAGTAGAAGCTCAACTTCTTCTACCATAGTAATTTTTCTGTTTACCAGATTTGATTATATAAAACGAAACTCAAATCTGAGCAGGAATATCAAAGCTTCTTCTCAGCAGGAAAATAAGTAGCAAGTTACCAGAAGAGAGATCAGTTGCTCTGTGCTCTGTAGAAAGTAGACATGTTGAGATTTTACTGTGGTTATGAGGAATGCAGTTCAGGCCAGAAAAAGAACAAGACTACAAATTTTACTTAAAATATTCTTTTTCTAGTAGAATGCAAATGAATATAGTTAGATTTTTTTTATTTTTATTTTATTTTATTTTTTTTTTTCAAGCAAAAGAAAAACAATTTTAACTACTGAAAACTTCCATATTACTTTTAGGATTGTTCTGGTTTTGTTGCATCAAAGCAAAAGATGCTTGTGCATTTTACCTGCAAGTTTAATCAGATAAAGTAGTAAAATGACATTTCTCACAGATACCAGCATTATTTTCAATTCTTGAATTACTGCAAATTGTTGCAATTTGTTGCAAGTTGCAAATCTGTCTATATTTACCTTGGAAATTTATATTTTTACATTGGTTTTTACAGATGGCTTGACCTTGTCTGCCTGCCAGACCCCTGAACTGCTCTCACTCCTTCTCCTCAATAGGACATGGGGAAGAAAATAAGATGGAAAAGCTCATGATTTGAGATAAAGACAGGGAGATCACTTGCCAATTACTATTATAGGCATAGTAGACTAACTTATTATCAATTAAATGTAGAATCAAGCGAGTAGGATGGTGAGAACCTTCCTTCCCAGACTGAGATCTGTTCCTTCATTCCCAGCATCTCTACCCCCTCTTATTTCCCAGACACTGCAGGTGAATGGAGAATGAAGACTGTGGTAAGTCTGTAAAAGCTCCTCTCTACTACTCTTACTTCCTTACTTTATTCTCTGCTCAAATCTGGGCTACCTATGGGACCATCTTTCTGGGCACTTCCACCTTCTGCAGCATGGGATCCTCCATGGACTGCAGTGTGGATATCTCTTCTACCAGCCTGTTCTCCATGGTCTGCAATGCCTGAAACATCTCCTCCCCTTATTCTCTGAACTCCATGCTCAAAGGGTTGTTTCTTACACATTTTTCTTCATTCCACCTATGTGGTATTTTACCCTCTCTTAAATTTGTTTCCTAAAGGCACCACCATCTTGGCTGCAGGACCAAGTTATGCCCTGCAGGGGGGCCACTGGAGCCAGCTGGAACAGAGCTGCTCAAGCCTCACCTCACAGAGGCAGCTCCTGCTACCGAAACTAGTACAGTTCTCAAAAACATGTTTAATGTTTTTCACATGTCCTGTGATATAAAGAAAAATGTTTTTTTTTTTTTTTTTTTTAATGGACTCATGCTAGATAAGAATGAGCCTTAGATCTACATACCATCTTTAGAACTACCCTACCATTAACGGATCCTCACTGAAAACAGGGAAAAGATAAGAAACCAAACCTACATATAAAGCTGCTTAATAAAATCTTGTTACATTTTGATTGTTGTCAAATAAAGATTATTCCACTACAGTTAGCAAAAAAGTCATACAGAACTTTGCATGTTTCCTGTCATTTCTTGAAGAATACTTGATTTATCAATGCCCTTTGTTCCATCAGCTGAGTCATAACTGTGACTGAGAAGATGATATCAAGGAACATTATGAATCCCATAGATACTTGGATAATTGGAAAAATTTTATATTTGGTCATTAATTTATGGACATCCAGAAATGCATCATTACATTCAGTACTTTTTATTACAATCATAAAGTTGACCTATCATGAGATATGGGGAAATATTTTAAGTACAACTGGACAATTCTATTCTCTCTAGAAGTATCTTCATAAGGCATATCTTCATTATGTTTTATGGCATTAATTAGAGAGACAATATAGAAAAATATTTCAACTGTCTCAGATACTAGATAAAAATAATACACTTTTCCCACTAATCTAAATTAACCTCTATATTGAAAGCGCCACTGGAACATATGAGAATACTTCCAGGGTCATATACACTCCTAAATATTTATACAGTTTGTTATTAGACATCTGAGTTTTACTGGATGGATGTCTTGTATTGTAGAGCAACAACAAACAATGCTTTGTATTGTAGGCTATGAAAAAAACACAGAAAATGTCTAACAATTGAAACCTCAAAACAGTTATGAAAAATAATTTGATTAAATGTACTTTGACCCCATGTTTACTTAAGGAATTGCTTCCATCTTGAGGAGACAGGTAGTTTTCAGTCAGAACAAGATAATTTATAGTTATCTATATCAAATCTTGAGATACAGTACTATTTCCCTTTAAAAAAATATTGGTCTAATTGCATACCACATTGTTAATTTTATGGAAACAAAATGAAAATATCCACAGAGCCAAACAACTCTCTGCAATTAACACTTTAGTCTTTTGCAGATCTTTCCCAGGCAATACCTGCAGAATAAAACAACCGCTACAGTCCAAGTGACCTTGATGCTGCATAGAGTCAGCCAGCCACAATTGCTCTTTTACAGCTGGAAAGCTTGGCTCATTTTTTGCTAGAAAACATTTAGTTATTTCTGTGGCAGATTTTATGTGGAAATTGGCAGTTGGATGATCTGGACTGCATTGCACAGACACACAAACAGAACATTTGTTCAGAAAAAAAAAAAAAAATTATGTGATCATGGTTTTGGATAACTTTTGCACGGTGAATGAAAAATCAAACAGGGAAATCAATTCCTCTCCATATGGAAACAGGAACCTCTGCTACATGCATCCTTGCAAGGGTATCTTCAGCTGCGTCATATCTTTCCAAATTCCTGTTTTGCTCTGTTCATAAATCCAGCTGGCCCATTGTCCCATGTCTGTTCCAGCTATTGGCTACACAGAATCACAGAATATCTCCTGTCTTTCCTATGTGTGAAAGATTGGTCTACAGTTTCTACTGACCATTTGCAAGTCCCTTATCTGTACATATTTGGTTAGTTCTACAGCAAGTAAAACCCAAGGGAAATGCTGGAGTGGACGTATTCTGCAATTGGAATTTAAATCAATGTATGTAGGTGACATCAGTACAGACAGAGCAGAGGAAATCTTCAAGACAGTCCAAAACTCTCACTTCAAAGGCTTCTGCATAAATTACTAAAATACTTTGTTTTGAAGGTCACTAGGAACTCATTCAATCATCTTGTCTCACATCTGATGTATTGTCAGTGCAGAAGTCTTGCTGAGGGAGGTTCTTACTATCCCTGAGGAGTTAATGATCTAAGTGTACAGAACAAGTAACAGACACCACTCCTGATACCCAGATACATAGCAAATATAACACACAAACTTCACGAACTTGAGTTTTGTACCTTTAACTTAAATTCTACACTGTATATGCTACAGTGGCATTAGCTCTAAGCATTTTTTTTTTCCAGTTAGAAAAATAGTTACAATCTATTCTTGTAAGATAGATTTTAACTGCCACCAATATTTTAAGTCTTACAAAAATAGACTGTAACTATTTAGAGCTAATTCTCCATTCTGTGCCTTAGAAACATTTAACTTCCAGCTGTAGTAGATTCTTAAAGTCACCTAAAACTTAGTCGTAGCAAAATTTCTATATCCTCAAATTACTATAAATATGATCATATCAGTACATATCTTTATTTCAGGTGGGAATTAATACAAAACAGTACAAGAGACCATTTAATAATTGAATACACATTAACATAACAATTAAAGAAAAAGAGATGGGAGTCATCAAAAGACAGGCAAATAATAGCAGTTTTAAACTTTCCTAGACTAGCATTCATTAATAAATGTCTTTCTAATAATGGTTAGTTCTTATTATCAGTCATTGTCATCACCAACATAAATTTAAAGTAGTCAGTTCTTAGCAATCATTCCCAATATTAGCTTCTAGAATAAAGTACTATACTATTAGAATCATAGAATCATATATTAGAATGGTTGTGGAATGGTTTAAGATCATCTAGTTTCAACCCTTGGCTACAGGCAGGGACACCTCCACTAGACCAGTTTGCTCAAAGCCTCATCCAGTCTGGTCTTGAACTCCTCCAGGGAGTGGATGCCCACAAACTCTCTGGGCAACATATTCCAGTGTCTAACCATCATCATAGTAAATGATTTCTTTCTAATATCCTGTCTAAATCTACCCTCTTCTAGCTTAAAGTCATTTCCCCTTGTTTTGTCTCTACATGCCCTTCTAAATAATCCCTCCCTAGTTTTCCTGTAGGCCACCTTCAAGTACTGGAAGGCCAATTTACGGTTCCCCCAGAGCCTTCTCCAGGCTGAAGAGCCAGAGCCCCAACTCTTTCAAGCTGTCCTCATAGGGGAGATGCTCCAGTCCTCTGATTAGTTTCACGGCCCTCCTCTGGATCCACTCCAAGAGCTCAATGTCCTTCTTATACTGGGGGCCTCAGAACTGAATGCAGTACTCCAGGTGGAGTCTCACAAGAGCAGGGTAGAGGGGCAGGATCAGCTCCCTCAACATGCTGGTTGACATGGGAAATCAAACTCTGTAACCCAAGTAAGATTACAAAGCAGGTACAGTTTATTCAGTGCTGTGCAGACACCAGATGCAAGGGGGATAGATCCACCTAACTTGCACACCACCTGGAAAAATCATGCTACAGATATAGGCTGAACTAATACATAATCAATAGTTTTCCCAGAATTTGGATACATATTCATTACACCCTCAAGAGTTCATTAGCATGCAGACCCTCCCCTCTTGCACATGCGTAAGGGTTGTGGGATGAAGATTTGTTGTCTTCCTCACGAAGGCTTCTGAATTTTTTCACTGTAAACTTCTGAACTTTCAGGGGGGGGGGGGGG